GAATTATGATAAAATTATTTCTAATAATAGATGTTTTTCTGTTCTTGGTTAGTTTGTTGCATTTAGGTAAATACTTGGGGACAGCAACAAAAACCAGATGTGTTAGGTTGCAGGCTGTGTAATTTACTAATTACACAATAAATTCTCAGCTGTTTGGCAATTATAATTGAATTACCATGTATAATCTGTGCTAAAAGGAAGAACATTATGAAATGATAATACTGGACTAAATATTATCTTTAGATGGGTCATCTAAAATTCTGGAATTCCTATACCAATGTTTGTACCATCATCTGTCAGTTTGTTGCACTGTGGTGGCTTGCATGTTGCTGTGATGCTGCAACCTATGCCACCAGTATTTCAAATACCACCAGCGTCACCCATGGTGGACAGATTTCAGTGGAGCTTCCAGGCTAAGACAGAATAGGAAGAAGGACCTGGTAATGTACTTGTAAAAAAAATTGACCAGTGAAAACCTTATGAATAGCAGCGGAACATGGTCTGATACAGTGCTGGAAGACCAGCCCTTCAGGTTGGAAGATGCTCAAAATATGACTGGGGAAAAGCTGACTACTCAAAGTAGAGTTGACCTTAAAGACATGGAGGGAGTAAAGTTTTCAGTGCCTTCATTTGCTGATGTGACACAACTCAAAGTGAGAAGATACAGCTGCAAACATCCATTAATAATCAGAACATGGAATGTCTGAAGTATGAATGTAGGAAAATTGAAAGTCTTCAAAAATGAAATGGAACACATAAAGATTGATATTGTAGGCATTGTTATTGTTGTTAGGTGCCCTCGAGTCGATTCCGACTCATAGAGACCCTGTGTACAACAGAATGAAGCAATGCTCGGTTCTGCCTCATCCTTATAATCGTTGTTATGCTTGAGCCCATTGTTGCAGCCACTGTGTCACTCCATCTTGTCAAGGGTCTTCCTCTTTTTCACTGACCCTCTACTTTACCAAGCATAGTGTCCTTCTTCAGGGACTGGTCCCTCCTGATAATATGTCCAAAGTACATGAGACGAAGACTTGCCATCCTCACTTCCACGGAGCGCTCTCGCTGTATTTCTTCCAAGACGGACTTGTTTGTCCTTCTGGTAGTCCATGTTATATTCAGTATTCTTCGCCAACACCATAATTCAAAGGCATCAATTCTTCTTTGGTCTTCCTTATTCATTGTCCAGCTTTTGCATGCATATGAGGCAATTGAAAATACCTTGGCTCGGGTCAAGCACACCTTAGTCCTCAAAGTGATATCTTTGTTTCTCAACACTTTAAAGCAGTCTTTTGCAGCAGATTTTCCCATTGCAATAGTTCATTTGATTTCTTGACTGCTGCTTTCATGGGTGTTGATTGTGGATTCAAGTAAAATGAAATCCTTGATAACTTCAACTTTTCTGTTTATCCTGATGTTGCTTATTGGTCCAGTTGTGAGGATTTTTGTTTTCTTTATGTTGAGATGTAATCCATATGGAAGGCCGTAGTCTTTCATTTTCATCTTCATCAGTAAGTGCTTTAAGTCGTCTTTACTTTCAGCAAGCAAGGTTGTGTCATCTGCATATCACAGGATGTTAATGAGTCTTTCTCCAGTCCCGATGCCACATTATTCATATAATCCAGCTTCTTGGATTATTTGCTCAGTATACACATTGAATAAGTATAGTAAAAGGATACAGCCCTGACATACACCTTTCCTGACTTTAAAACAAGTGATATCCATTTGTTCTGTTTGAATGACTGTCTCTTGGTCTATGTACAGGTTCTGCATGAGCACAATTAAGTGTTCTGGAATTCCCATTCTTCACAATGTTATGCATAATTTGTTCTGATCCACACAGTCAAGTGCCTTTGCATAGCCAATAAAACACAGGTAAATATCTTTCTGGTATTCTCTGCTTTCAGCCAAGATGCATCTGACATCAGCAATGATATCTCTCATTCCATGTCCTTTTCTGAATCCAGCTTGAATTTCTGGAAGTTCCCTGTCAATGTATTGCTGCAACTACTTTTGAATGATCTTCAGCAAAATTTTACTTGCATGTGATATTAATGATATTGTTCAATAATTTCCACATTCTGTCGGATCACTTTTCTTTGGAATGGGCATAAATATGAATCTCTTCCACTCAGTTGACATGTGAGGCATTAGTGAGATGAAATGGACTGGTACTGGCATTTTGAGTCAAATAGTCATATGATCTAATATGCCAGGAATGACAAATTGAAGAAGAGTGGCGTCACATTCGTCATCAAAAAGAACATTTCAAGATCTAATTTGAAGTACAACACTGTCAATAATAGGATAATACCCATATGCCTACAAGGAAGACCAGTTAATACGACTATTATTCAAATTTACACACCAACCACTAATGCCATAGATGAAAAAATTTAACATTTTTACCAACTTCTGCAGTCCAAAACTGATCAAATATGCAATCAAGAGTCATCAATAATTACTGGTGATTGGAACATGAAAGTTGGATACAAAGAAGGATCGAAGTTGGAAAATATGACCTTGATAATAGAAATGACGCAGGAGATCACATGATAGAATTTTTCAAGACCAATGACTTATTCATTGCAAATACTTTTTCAACAACATAAATAGTGACTACACATGTAGACTGGGCTGGATGGAATACACAGGAATCAAATCGACTACATCTATGGAAAGAGACAATGGAGAAACTCAGTATCATCAGTAAGAACAAGGCCAGGGGCCAGCTGTGGAACAGACCATCAATTGATCATATGCAAGTTCAAGTTGACACTGAAGAAAATTAGAGCAAGTCCTTGAGAGCCAAAATATGACCTTGAATATATCCCACCTGAATTTAGAGACCATCTCAAGAATAGATTTGACATGTTGAACACTAATTAATGCCTGAAGACCAGATGAGTTGTGGAATGACATCAAGGACATCATACATGAAGAAAGCAAAAGGTCATTAAAAAGACAGGGAAGAAATAAAAGACCAAAATGGATGTCAGAAAAGATTGTGAAACTTGCTCTTGAATGTAGAGTAGCTACAGTGAATAGAAGAAATGAGGAAGTAAATGAACTAAACAGAATATTTCAAAGAGCAGATCGAGAAGACAAAGTAAAGAATTATAATGAAATGTGCAAAGATCTGGAGTTAGAAAACTAAAAGGGAAGAACATGCTCGGTATTTCTCGAGTTGAAAGAACTGAAGAAAAAATTCAAGCCTCGAGTTGCAGTTTTGAAGGATTCTGCGGGGGAAAATATTAAACCGTGCAGAAAGAAAGCATCAAAAGAAGATGGAAGGAATGGAGTCACTGTACCAAAAAGAATTGGTTGACGTTCAACCATTTCAGGCGGTAGTATACGATCAGGAACCAATGGTACTGAAGGAAGAAGTCCAAGCTGCGCTGAAGGCATTGGCAAAAATCAAGGCTCCAGGAATTGACAGAATACCAATTGAGATGTTTCAACAAATGGATACAAAGCTGGAAGCACCCACTCGTCCATGCCAAAATATTTGGAAGACAGCTACCTGGCCAACTGACTGGAAGAGGGACATGTTTGTGCCTGTTTTTCTAAAGCTAAATAAAAGTAAAAACAAAACTACATCACATACTTTGTAAAAATTATCTTCCATTGTGTGAGAACATTAATATGCATAGCTTATTGAAGCCCCACCAAACTTAGAGCTTGAGAATTCTAATATGGAGACCTAGTGGTACAATGGTTAAGTGCTCAGCTGCTAACAAAGAGCCTGGGGGTTCAAATCCACCCAGTACTCCATGGAAGAAAGACCTGGTGATCTGCTGTCATACAGATTACAGCCTAGAAAATCCTATGGGGCAGTTCTACTCTGTCACATGGGATTGCTATGAGTAGGAATTGACTTGATGGTACCTAACAACACAAAGGGGAATGGGTGACCTGGAATCCTAAACAAAAATTAATTTTAATAAAGAAGTTGCTTTGATGATAAAACTGCTGAAGTAATTAAAGAATTATCCCAAAGATTATAAAGGACATTTACCCTTTACAAGAAGTTATATATAAAGATAGAGGAGATAGAAAATGAAAAATGCAATTTTTAAAATATATATGATCAAGATTTACCTTGAATTTATAGTGCATATTCTTTCAAAGATTTTAACCTACTACCAGTAAGCCATTTCAAGTATCTGAATAACTTTCCTGTGAGGAAGGTAGCACATTCTTTTACAGACATCTACAGGGAAGAAAATTGAAAGAGAAATTTGTATGCTAGAAGTAGTGTGTTTTTGTTACATAGAGTAAACAATGACAGAACAGAAAGAAAAGAATCCTGACTTTAGTTCTACCTCTGTCTAATTCAGTTTATTTACTTTGTGGTTTTACAGAATGAATAGTTAGTTGCAGGTTAGTCTTGCATCCAAATAATCATATGTTTAAAACGCTGACCTTCAAGATTAAAAGGAAAAACAACTTTGAAATTACATGATATATTTTTTTAATAAATTACTTTTGTTGAGAATAGACACAGCAGAACATCAATTCGACCATTGCTACGTGTATAATTCAGTAACATTTATTACGTTCTTCAAATTGTGCAACCATTCTCACCCTCCTTCTCTGAGTTGCTCCTCCTCCATTAACGTAAACTCACTGCCCGCTAAGTTTCCTATCTGATCTTTCAAGTTGCTCGTGAAATATGTTTTTATTCCCTGGGAGTGAACTAAGACGTAAAACTGAAAGAAATGACCCTAGTTATGGCATTACATTCTGCCTTCCTTGCAAAGCAAACCAGGATTGCGTCAGAGCCTTGGAAAAGTCATGGGAAAGTTTCAGAGGGGCATCCTAACCTTTTTAATTTAAGGAAGAGAAGAAGAGTTGATGGCCAAAAGCTCTATAGCCATGAGAAAATGATTGTTTCTGCTGTGAACCCTGATTATATTTAAACCAAAAGAAGCATCTTATCAGATTGGACATTTTTTGGTTATTTTTCTTTTCAATTCCTTTATTTATTTATTTTACAGTGGATGGAACTGAGGTTCAACACTCTGGCAAAATGCCCACACTGCAAAAAAATGTAAGTTCCTTACCATTACAAATACTATTGAGAAGCATTTGAGACCAATTTAAAGCGTTCAGAATTCTCATTTAAGGAGGTTTTATTTTAAGACATTCTATGGGATGAATGCACGCTAAATATACTTATGCTGTTTAAAACTAAAAAAAGGACATCTTTACACTAATTAATATATTCCATTTTGAAATTAAGATGATTGGGCTTGATTATCATTCTCTGAAGGAAATCAGTTTCTAAGAAAGTAAAATTATGTGTGTTTGTGTGTGTGTGAATGATACATACTTCTGTGTATTGTATTTCCACAAAAATGAATAAAATTAAATTGCAAATGTCTTCACTGATAACAATAAATTGGATTAAAAAAATCTTGTAGAAAATGAAAAGCAGGGACTTATTAGCAAGCAAGCTATGTGCTAGGCAGGGTGATAGTTGCTTTATATCAAACATGTATATACTAGCTGTAATCTTTCAACCATTTGGAATCCAACGAATATTATCTTCATTTTATAGATGAGGAACTGTTAGGGAGGTTAAGATTTTATCTCAAATGACTAGCTTGGTTAACTATTTTAGAACAATGGTGATATTTGATAATAATAAAGAAGCATTGAATTCTAGATACTCTATGTATGATTTGTTAAAATATCACAAGACAGTGTATTAATGTGAATAAGAATTTGCACCAATTACTTAGGGAACAACTTGCTTAGAAATCACATGGAATCAATCAGCTTAAACACCACTCTAAGAAGAATGTTTATAGAATTGAAATCACATGCTAAACATGGGAGTGCTCAGGGCATTCGTTACTTACGAGGACATTCATTATTCATTTGGGCAAGGATGCTGTTACTACGTGAACACTCATGGCTGGTGTCTAGATCTCTTTTCCTTCTGAATGTTTTTCTTCATAACAAAGATAGGATGGGTCATCTGGTGAAAAAAGATTCTGAGATAGAATTGTATTTCTTTAAACACATATCTCAAACGTCCTAAAATTATTTTCAAATTAGAGGAGTTACTAAATCATTACTATAAAATTAAGCTTGTCATGTTGTGCTTATCTCACAAAACACATGGGGGAAAGCTGCCTAGAAGCATTTTCTCAACTCACTGTTTCTTACTCATGTAGTAGCTGGGGTATTGTAGCTGAAGGTGAAGTTTCTCTTTTATATGACCACTTGTGGCCACCACAGGGCAGGAGATGTGGTCCTAGCATTCAGAAATAGAATTTAGAATACATTTCCATACGAATGTTATAATGGACCTAAAACTATTGGGAAAGTCAATTTTATTCTGCTGCTTATTCCTTGAACAAAATTCTTATTTTTCCATACCCAAGTAATGCTACTGTCATCTGCTAGAATGATTTACTTACTCTCCCTTCTATTTTAGTCTTATCCTATTCTTAAGCCCTACCTAGTAAAGCCTACCCTGCCTACCTCATGTGGAAATGTTACTGTCAATAACATTGCCTGGTTCCTTTTTTAGCTGTGGTGGTACAGTAGTTTAGCACCCACCTGTTAACGGAAAGGTTGGTGGTTCGAACCCACCAGCTGCTCCGCAGGAGAAAGATGTGGCAGTCTGCTTCCATAAAGATTACAGCCTTGGAAACTATGGGGCAGTTCTACTCTGTCCTGTAGGGTTGCTATGAGTTAGAATTGACTCAACAGCAATGGGTTTAGTTTTTGTTTTTTTGGGGTTCCTTTTTTCCCTCTTAATTTCTATAGCTGTAACTACACTAGCATTTCCCAGGTGTTGCACACAATCCAAGTGTTCTGTAGGATGTGCATGGTTGTGAAGGGCAAGGTGAATAAATCAAAGGTTGAATAGTTAGATACTTGGGAAACATTGCATGACCTCCTCTTGAAGATTCAATAACCACATTTTTGTATATTACAGACTCTTGACTTTCATATCCAGGAATATGGAAGATTAGTTAACTATAACAAACATCCTTTGAGATGCATAGCTCAGTTCATATGAAAGTTATGAAATTGAAGAGGAACTGACAACCGGGAATGTCCTGAGGATGTTTGTCAATGCTAGAGACATAGAGCCTTCGGTTTCAATGTTCATTCATGTGAAGAACAAGAGAGAAGGCCTTGACCCTGCAGAAGGGGGAAGAGTTGGAATAAAGCTGTCTCTCCCCAAAAAAAGTACTCAAAAGACTATCCTCCATGAGGAGAGTCACGGGAAAAAAATCCACCAGTAAAGGTTACAAAATGGAGGGGATAGAAGGTCTCGCCCGAGAGTTTATAAGAACAGTGAGTTTGAGGCTTGTATTCATACCATTTGTTTTCTTTATGTTGAGTTGTACTCCATACTGAAGGCTGTAGTCTTTGATCTTCATCAGTAAGTGCTTCTGGTTCTCTTCACTTTTAGCAAGCAAGGTGTCATCTGCATAACGCAGGTTGTTAATGAGTCTTCCTCCAATCCTGATTCCCCATTCTTCTTCATATAGTCCATCTATTCAGGTTATTTGCTGAGCATACAGATTAAATAAGTATGCTGAAAGGATATAAGAAGATTTTTACAGCATGTATAACTTCCTGAAATAGTATCCAGATTGTATAAATATCTATGAATCAGTAAGCAAAAGACAGCTCAATACAAAGGGGCAATAAACATGAACAAGCAATGAGTCGAAAAAGTAAACCAATAGCCACTAACATTTGAAAAAATATTCAGCCTTGCTAGAAATCAGGGAGATACACATATAGTTGGCCCTCCATATCTGCATGCATTGTTGGATTTGACCAACCGTGGATCAAAAATATTCGGGAAAAAAAAAAAAGTTCCAAAAAGCAAAGCTCACGCTACGCTGAATCCACGAAAATGAAGTGATGTGTTGGCCTCCCCTGCTCTAGCCTCCCGCTGTGCCACAGATCCTCAGTCTCTCTCCAGCACTTGTTGTTTGAGCGTTGTTTGCCTGGCGTCTCATTGGTTGAACGGCTTGTGTTGTGTGCACCGTTTGTTTCTGTGAAACAATGGCTGCTAAAAACCAATGAAATGGTCAAATCAATCCCTCAGAGGCTAAGAGGGAGCATAAAGTGCTATCTCTTGACGAGAAAATAAAAACCTTAGATCTTTTGAAGTGGCCTGTCGCTTGCCGAAGTGGGCCGTAAGGTTGGTAAGAATGAGCATTCTCACAATAAAGCAGAAAGAAGCTGAAATTCGTCGAAGTGTTAGTGCTGCCCCTACAGCAGCAAAAATAGTCTCTCTAGTTTGTGATAAAGTGCTTGCAAAGATTGAGAAAGCATTAAGTGTTAAGTGTAAGCATTAACTATTTATATAGCATTAGTATTGTATCAGGTATTATAAGTAATCTAGAGATAATTTAAAGGATACAGGAAGATGTGCGTAGGTTATATGCAAATACTATGCAATTTTATATAAAGGACTTCAGCATCCTTGGATTTTGGTATCCGTGGGGGGTTCAGTGTTATTGGGGATATAAATTTGGTATTTATTAGAGTTGAAAATACGTGCACAGTACGACCCAGCAATTCTATTCCTAGTTATACGTTTGAGACATTACTGTATATGTACATAAGGACACATATACAAAAGTGTTCAAAGCAACATTGTTATAATATCAAAAAATTAAGGGGGGAAAAAAACCCTGAATGTCCACCAACAGGGAGAATAAGTAAACTGTCATATGTTCATATAATGGAGCATAGTTGTGAAAATGAATGGATTAGATCTCAGTATGTCAATATGAAAGAGCCTTATGTAGAGTATTGAGCAAAAAAAGCAAGTCACAAAAGCATACAGTTTAACACACAGGCTCATAAAATTTTAACACATGCAAAGAATATCATATATTGCATACAGATACCACCCAAAAACCCACTGCTGTAGAGTTGATTTTGACTCATAGCGACACTATAGGACAGAGTAGAACTGCTCCATAGGGTTTCCAAGGCTGAAAATCTTTACGGAAGCAGACTGCCATATCTTTCTCCCGTGAAGCAGGTGGTGTGTTTGAACCACTAACCTTTCAGTTAGCAGCCGAGTGCTTAACCTCTGTGCTGCAAGGGCTCCGTACAGACACCACATATGTATTAAATGTATAAGGAGATGTCATTATCCATGCAGTGGGTGCTTTTTGGTCATTGCTTATCTCTATCACAACATGACACTTGGGTTGTAGAGTAGTAGTAGTAGTAGTAGTAGTAGTAGTAGTAGTAGTAGTAGTAGTAGGTTATTTCTCCCCTGGGAATACTTTCCAGAGGTGTAGTAACTGACTGCTAAAAAATGGGCAAGAGTGGTCTAAGTCGAGTTCATGTGCTGAAATTAATGTACTAAAGTATACTCTCTTGAATCACAGAAAAGCAGCTCTAGTATTTACTTAGAATATTTTTACTTTTTCAATACGTAATTCTAATAAGCTTAGTTGGTTTCCATGGTAGATTATGGACTGCCAGAAGCAGATACACAGGTAATAATGGGAAATATCAGCCAACTGTGAGGTATAAGGCAGGAAAAACCACCAAATGCACACATAAGGATTAAAACCAAATATAGTAAGGCTAAACATAGCATAAGGGCAGTGAACTCCTGATAGCAGGTTGGAATATGGCCCAATATAGTAATTAATGATAACCCTCAGGTCATTCAGACATTTGTGTTTGCGTTCAAGTACTTAGGAAAGTTTATGATATATATTTACAATACTCATTCATTTTAAAAAAGATTTGGGATTTAAAGGAAATAATTTTTCTGTTATTAAAAAAAATTAGCTTTTGTGGAATGTCACAATTCTAAATTATGCCTAGTGGTGCATTTCTATGTTTCACTTATTCAGTAAACATTTCTTGCGCAATTACTGTGTGCCAGGCATGATGATCTTGAAATTGGGTGCACAAAGGTGATAAAGATACTTCATTATGTCATTCACTAATACAGTGTTTGGCATACAGTGTGTGTTAATAAATATATGTATGATTAGGCTGAGAAGAAAGTGCTAAATTGGCTGTTTGATCTCTGCTATACTTGTCATTTTGAAAATTACCAAAATTAGAAGTGAAGAGAGCTAAGTACTATGGGATTTGGAATTTTAACTGAGAAGTGCTAGGCATCTCTGGATGGCATAAATGACTAAGCACTCAACTACCAGCCAAAAGGTTGGTAGTTTGAACCTACCCAAAGGCACCTCAGAAGACAGGCCTGGTGATCTGCTTCCAAGAGGTCACAGCCCCAAGGCAAGGTCATGGAAGCTTCATAGACACATTCAAACTCCCTGAGGGACCGAATTACTGGGCTGAGGGCTGTGCGGACCATGGTCTTGGGGGACATCTATCTCAGTTGGCATAACATAATTTATAAAGAAAATGTTCTACATCCTATTTTGGTGAGTAGTGTCTGGGGTCTTAAAAGCTTGTGAACAGCCATCTGAGATACTTCACTGGTCCTGCCCTGTCTGGAGCAAGGGAGAATGAAGAAAACCAAAAAAACAAGAGAAAGATTAGTCCGAAGGACTAATAGACCACAACTACCACCACAGCCTCCACCAGACTGAGCCCAGCACGACTAGATGGTACCCGGCTACCACCACCAACTGCTCTGACAAGGATCACAATAGAGGGTCCCGGACAGAGCTGGAGAAAAGTGTACAACAAAATTCTAACTCACAAAAGAAGACCAGACATACTGGTTCTGACAGAGACTGGAGAAACCCGGAGAGCCTGACCCCCGGACACCCTTTTAACTCAGTACTGAAGTCACTCCTGAGGTTCACCCTTCAACCAAAGATTAGACAGGCCCATAAAACAAAACGGGACTAAAGGGGCACACCAGCCCAAGGGCAAGGATGAGAAGGCAGGAGGGGACAGGAAAGCTGATAACGGGGAACCCAAGATCGAGAAGGGGAGAATGTTGGCATGTTGTGGGATTGGCAACCAATGTCCCAAAACAATATGTGTATTAATTGTTTAATGAGAAACTAATTTACTCTGTAAACCTTCATCTAAAGTACAATAAAAAATAAAAAAATCCTATGGGATGCATTTCTACTCTGAGACACATGGGTCGCCATGAGTAGGAATCAACTTGAAGATGAAGGGTTTTGTTTTTGTTTTAATTGGAGCCCTGGTGGTACAGTGGTTAAGAACTTGGCAGCTAACCAAAAGGTTGGCAGTTCGAATCCACCAGTCGCTCCTTGGAAACCCCGTGGAGTAGTTGTACTCTGTCCTACAGGGTCACTATAAGTTGGAATTGACAGCAACAGGTTTGATTTTTTTGGGGGGGTACACTTAATTATTATGTATGTGTAATCAGGCTTGTTGAGGGAAAGAGAGAAAGGGGGGTGCACAAGAAAGCTGACTTGGAACTCCGTTTTCAAATTTATATAAACTGGATTAACTTTTTGGGAACCATAACTGTAAAAGACATCAGTATCCAGTATAATGGAACCCATGTGCTATCTTTATCAATAAATTTTTTTTAAAAATCACAACCTTAAAAACCCTGTGGAGCAGCTCTACTCTGCATATGTGGGGTTGCCAGGAGTCGAAACTGACTCAATAGCAAGTAGCATCCAGTAGCATTATATACTTTTATGAATTTCCTAGAGGCCTCTTTATAGCATTTATTTAAGGCCTTATTAAAAGACTTTAAAAAGTTTAATCACTTTAAATTTATCATCCTAATTCTAGGAATTTATTTTTAAAAAATGATGAAAAATAAGCTCCGTGGGTTTAAGTGTTGTTTATCTGGCATTATTTATAATAATGAAAATACTTTGTGTCCAATAGGGAATTGGTTATGTTATAACTGGATACTTGAGTGTTATATCCATCCACAGAATTCTAGTTTGAGAATACTTAATGACTTAGGAAAATACTCTTGATATATTGGTAAATTTAAAAAAAAGAAAAAGAAACAACTGGAGGAAAATATGCCAAAATGTTGAGCGTGTTACAGTAGTGGGATTATAAATAATATTCCTTTCCTCTTTACATTTTACTCTATTTTCCAAATATTCTACAATTAACATATATTGTTATAACCAGAAAAAAAATCAAATGTTATTTACAAGATAGCACTGATTTTCCATTCTGGAATAGATTTTTTGGAAATAGATATTTGTCATGTAGGATCATTAGGGAGTTTTATAATTTTATGGTTGTTTATAGATATTGTGAATGACCAAGGCTTGAAGTTTATTTAAAACCACAATAAAATATCACAGATTCATCATTTTTTATTTTGGTTACTGTCTTAGTTACTTAGTGGTGCTGTAACAGAAATACCACAAGTGAATGGCTTTAACAAACAAAAATGTGTTCTCTGACAGTTTTGGAGGCTAGAAGTCCAAATTCAAGGTGCCAGCTCTAGGGAAGACTTTTTCTGTCTGTTGGTTTCTGGGGAAAGGTCCTTATCATCAATCTTTCCCTGGTTGAGGAGCATCTCAGTGCAGGGACCCCGGGTCCAAAGGATGCACTCCACTCCCTGCTCTTTTTTCTTGGTGGTAGGAGGTCCGTCTCCTCTGCTTGCTTCTCTCTTTTATATCTCAAAAGAGATTGACCCTAGATACAACCTAATCCTGTAGATTATGTCTTGCCTTATTAACCTAGCTGCCTCTAATCCTGCTTCATTAACATCATAGAGGTTAGGATTTACACAGGATAAATACATCAAATCACAAAATGGAGAACAACCACACATTATTGGGAATCATTGCCTAGCCAAGTTGACATTTTGGGGGAACACAGTTCAATCCATAATACTTACTCATTGAAAATTATCATTTTTCTGCAAGTTCTAATATATCAAGTTGAAGAAATGAATAAAAATATATATAAACAGTTCTGCTAGAACTAGAGATGAGTGCACACAAAGATGAAATGGATAATCTTCATGTATATATTTAATGTTTTCTTTTGCTGTTATGAATTTGCAGCTCCTCAGTGGGTAGTGCACTTCCACGAAGACGCTGCTGTGCATATATTACCGTTGGAATGATATGTATTTTCATTGGCATTGGATTAACTGTAAGTATTGCTGAAGTGTTAGAATTCTTTCATCTCAGCTTTATCTCCATAATAAATGGTGAGGCCTGGGACAACCAGGGATGATCCTTGAAGACCTGCCTCCCCTGCATGCCAGGCCCAGACACTTCTGAATGACTGTGGGCAATCTGAAGTCAAATTCATGGTCCAGTTTTCAGCGGAGCTTGCTTTTCCAGGTATAATGGTATCGGGGACCCCTCTGAAGGTTCCGATATTAGGGACTTGATCATACGTTTAACTGAAGTCTGTTTGGTGCCAGGACCAATTTTGCATTGACATGAGGTTTCCTGTATCTGAGCCAATACTCATTTAGCTATGGTCTAAAAAACCATTCTTCCCTTAATCCAAGCTAAGCAGAGTTTTAGTACCAGTATAGGATGGTTTATTTTTAGAGGAGACTGAAGCTAAGAAGTTGGCTTGGGGATTATACCAGGAGAAGAGGAAGAAACTGATCTGTTTTTCTGCCACTTGGTTTCCATGCTTGTTTGTTCCTCAGTACAGTTGGTCCCATAATTCTAGTAATATCCTACTTTGTCACATGAGACTAAGGAGGTACGTCAGTTAAATTCCTTTTAGAGATAACATATTTTTAGTGGATTTGTTTGTTTGCTTCATAAAATTCATAGCTAACATAAGTAACAGCATTGTTTTATTAAATTTTACTCTGCCAGTTACAGTTAACAGATACTGTCTAGGGATATATTTCATAAAACTCACATGTAACCTAACACAAATTCTCTAAGCAGATACCTTCTTAAAATTCCTAACCTTTTGTTTTATATTGCTTTTTATTTTAGGTTGGCACCCAAGATTTTGCCAGGCAGTTTCACGCAACCTATGTTTCTTGGGCAATTGCTTATCTCTTAGGTTTGATCTGCCTTATCCGAGCTTGTTATTGGGGAGCCATTAGAGTCAGTTATCCAGAACACAGTTTTGCATAAGCTTGCTTATTTATGATCGAGTGATGAAGGTGAGAGTGTCTAGCAGTTCTTGATGAGATACTCTGGACATCTTTAAATCATGTATCCCAATGGATTCCATTCTGGTTTATGTATAATACTTTCAAGACTTTGGGAGTCTTTTATGAACAAATGTTGATTGCACTACATTATATGCAAATAGTTTGTTTTGCTGCTAGGTTTTCAAGCTCTGAATAATACTAAAGCTGTGTTTTCATGTTGTTTTACATTTCTTAAAAGTATTTTTGGATTATCCCCCAATCATTGTGTATAGCATCACTCATTCATTAAAATCAGTTGCTCCATTACTTGCTAATCTGTGACTATTCCCAAGAAGTGTTTATAAATGTTTCTATAATAGCTTCACATTTATACTTACATTTTAATTAGACAATATCAAAATCGCTTGCTTTAAAATCTAAGCAATATGCATTTTGCTTAAACTGCTTACTATAACTCTACCCTAAGATCATAGTGACCTTATTCAGGAAGAAACTTTGAGTGTACCTTCAAAGACTTGACACCGTTGTTAGAGAAAAACCATTTCTAGACACTGTATGCTTGTTTTTTTGTTGTTTGTAGAGAGATACAATATTTTGGTAGTAATTTAAAATTTAAAAAATGAAAATATTTATTTGTCCACAGTTGGAGATAATGTTAGATAAATGTCTTTTTTCAAAGATCACAGGACTTTTTGTCTTTCATTTTTGTCTGTTTAATTTACCAATTATACAAGTTCTGGTCTGGATTCATGGAATTTAATGTTAATCAACTGTATGTATTCCTTTACAGAGCCTGGAGGAGGTATTTCATACAACATGTTTTATAATACTTGACCATTTAAACAAAGGTATACTTATGTTGGGTTGTCTTCTTTTCATTAGACCATGATACATTTTTCTTATTGGGATAATTATGTACTACTTATATGTGATGGGAGCTTATGACACTTTACATTAGTTAAAATGTTGAGACTAGAAGTAGTTATTTTTGACCATTCTCATATATAGCTGGTCAGATAATTACCCTATTTGAAAAAAAAAAAGAAAAAGATCAGAAACAAAAAGCAACCTAGTTTTCTAAGAATTCACTAGGACTTAAGGAATCAGCTCTCGCACTGCCCATCTTTGCAGTTTTGAAAAAGAAATTGCTTAATTGAGAAATAATGTTCTAAAGTCTATAATGTATTAGAATTAGATAATGAGATAATCTGAGTAAATTAATTGGTTATTCCAGGGATAAGAATAATCCTAATTTGTATAAAAAATATACTTATCAGAGAGTTTGCAACAAATAAATGTAAACTTCAAGGAATAAATGATAAATGTAAAAATGCAGTAGCTCAGGATTATATGTACCTTTGAAAATATACCAATAAAGATTACTGTTCAAAAATTACCTTGTTCTAGTCCATTTTTAAAAAATAAGATGTCGTTTCCAAAATTACTTAGGGATCTTATTCTAAAGGAACTTTCATCTTTAAGAATTATATAATATTCATTTATCTTTTCTAGTATTTTCATGGTTTTATTTTGTTTACTATTATTGTGGTAAAACATGTATATCGCAAAATTTGCTATTTTAACCATACAATTCAGTCGTGTTAATTACATTCACAGTGTTTTGTAACGATCACCATTTTCGGTTTCTAAAACTTTTCATCACCCCAAACAAAAACTCTGTACCTATTAAGCAATAACTCCCATCTCTCCTCTCCCCAGGTCCTGGTAATGCTAATCTCCTTTCTGTCTCTATGACTTTGCCTATTCTAGATATTTAATATAAATGGAATCATACAATATCTGTTCTTTTGTGTCTGGGTTATTTCACTTAGCATACGGTTTTTAAGGGTCATCTGTGTTATAGCATATATCAGAACCTTATTCCTTTTTATGGCTGAAAAATAGTCCATTGTATTATAATTTGTTTATCCATTCATTTGTTGACAGACACTTGGATTGTTTCTACCTTTTGGCTATTGTAAATAATGCTGCTGTGAATATTAGAGTACAAATAATCTGTTTGAGTTCCTGTTTTTAATTGTTGTTGTGTGCCTTCAAGTTGATTCCAACTCATAGTGACCCTATAGGACAGAGCAGAACTGCCCCAGAGGGTTTCCTAGGCTGTGGTCTTTACAGGAGCAGATCTCCAGGTCTTTTTTCCCCCCCAGAGCAGCTGGTGGGTTCTAACTGCCACCCTTTCATTAGCAGCCGAGCCCTTAACCATTGTGCCACCGGGGCTCCTTTGCTTTCAATTACATATGCAGTAGTATATATATGTCAGTATATATATGTCATTTTACAAGAAAGAGTCCTAATAATTACGTGTCAGGTACTAGCTTCACAGCAGTGCTGTTCAATATTCACAGGAACCCTAATAAGCAAGTATTCTTGTTTCTGTTTTACTAGAGAAAATTGAGGTTCCATACCCATAGATTGATCAGAAAAAATAGATTTTGTGTAGAATAGGAATCCACCTTCAAAACAAGCACTTGTTGATCATTGTGATGTAGATCTTTTCCTGGATCATATTCAGATATAAACACTGCACTATAAAATGATGAAAATGCACACATACAAGTTCAAATCCAGTTACTCTGACATTCACATTTTCTCACATGGAAAGCTTTGATTGCATCTGAGTAAATAACACCTTTATTTTGTTTAGCTTTTGTTTTGTTTTAATATAGTTATACCTGTGCTGTTGTACATAGGGTTGCAATGAGTCAGAACCAACTCGATGGCACCTAACAACAACGTATTTGTGCTCATATGTTATCATAAAACTTCACAGCCATTTCCATGTTCATGGTCTGCACACATTGCTATAAAATCTAAATTTGCGTTTATTTAATGTATGCTTTCAGTGCCCACACACACACACACACACACACAAACACATGTATGTATATCAATGACAAAAAATCCTAGTGTTATTAAGCTGCTTTACATATCTTTTAACGTGGTTATCATGATTCTACAATTGAGGAAGCTCAAAGAGGTTAAATAATTAGATAAAAGTCACCCAGCTTATACGTGACTGTGTCAGCTGAAATAAAACCCAATCTGTCTGCCTCTAAAATTTATCTGCTTTCCAATACAACATAGGATTTTATTGTGCTCTGGAGTTTTTGTGCCCCCTGCTGTTCATTCTCTGTAGCTCATCTGTGGAAAGAAAATTAATGGAAAACATTTGCCCTGTTTGTTTCACAAAGAATAGAATAGTTTAAAAAATCTTTTTATGCATTTGATAGTGTATCCTACAACATTGATTTTAGAGGATTTTAATTTATGTTCACAAATCTTATTACATGCACCTATTTTTCATAATTAACAAAACCATAGGAAGACTGAGTAGCAATATCACATATCAAATATGAAGAAATTAGCAAGCAATGCATTTTATTTAATTAATAATTTGCTTCATTTTCTTTTTAAAGTAATATCAATATTTATTTAAATGATTGCTAAATAGCACAAAACGCTAAAAAAAAAATTGTAAGGCTTTTAATTGTTTAACTCATTTTAGATGTTCCATTACAAGTTTAAATAAATACAGTGAAACCTGTGAGAAACGGAACTCCACAGGATTGTGTTGTTTTTCCTGGGCCTCACAAGTTTTCTGCCTCTGACAGGGTTCAAGGCTGTCTGTCACTGTCTATTTAATGCAAAATATTTGAGTTTTCCTTCTCTGACAGGTTTCCGCCTTACACAGATGTTACTGTACTATGCTCTTTATGTTTTGGTAAATGTGCATATCTCTGAAGTGAATATTATGTGAAAAGCAGAAAAATAAAGATTTTATGTTCTTTTGCGGACTGCCTCACAGAATAAGTTATCAGATAAGGCTAAAAGTCTAGGAGGTGGTTACACTTTGTAATTAACAGGTGAGAGTCTTTGAAATACCCAAGAGGTAATCTTTAAACTTTTGTCAGTGTAACTAAAAATGATTTAAAATAACTTCCTTAATAGGAAGTGATCACACACATTCTCTATTCAGTTGTTTTTAACACCCCAAGTGGCACATATCCGTATGTGTAGGTGCTAATGGTTGGGTATGAGAGCTTCTGAAAATTCCCAGTGTTCAAATACATTTTTCTGAAATACCTAGCCACAGTGTCTGATATTTCCACATCAACTGTCCTTTGGCTTAAGATATTAAATATTTAAATAATCTTATGTTACCTTTTTATTAGTAATTAAGCCTTTAGCAAGAGTAAATTTATGACATTTATGGAAAATTCTTTGGCTTAGGTAATGCCATGTTTTTTTCTGATTCTTCCTACATACCTAGCTTATACCTTTCTTTAAAAGTTCTTCTCTACCTACTGTCTGCCATCCATAGGTCTCCTTTTTCTCCCCCATAATCAGTGTAGACTTCAGCTCTTAGTTTCTGTTCTTATCAGATGCCATTGATTTAAATGTCACTGTCAATGACCTATCTCTCTAGTCTGGACTTCAAGTCCTTTGGCTCCCTTAACTCTAATGAACTTTATCTCCATCCCACTCCTACAATTCCTTTCTGTAGCTGCACTCTGGTGGTCGTGAGAGAACTGCTCCATCTCTAAACAATTAAACTCAGGTATTCCACTCTCTGAACATATACCTCCTCTATCCTTAAAACATTCTTAATCTCTCTGTACCTATTCCTGAATATCAGCTTCAAGACTTCTAGTTTCTTGATTATTCTCCCAATCTATCATCCCTCTTGTATTTACCAATGAATCCCACAACCACACAGATTAATACCATTCCAGATTCCTGATCTTCACCTTCAACTGGCTTCTCAACATTACTTAATTGTCTTTAGCTCTCTCTGCAAACTCCCTTGTTGTTGGTTGCCGTTGAGTTGATTCCAACTCATAGTGACACTATGTGTTACAGAGTAGAACTGCTACATAGGGTTTTTTGGTTTTGGGGTTTTTTTTTTTGGTTGTAATCTTAGTGGAAGCAGATTGTCGGTTCTTTTCTTCCATGGTACCACTGGGTGGGTTCAAACCTAAAGGTTAGCAGTTGATCGCATACCTTTTGTGCCACACTTCAAAATTCTAAAGCCCCTTACCACACTTTCTGCAGTAGACCACCTTTCTCCTATAGCAGATGATTTCTTATTTCACCTACTTTTTTGTCTCTTCCCTCCACTTACATTCTAGATCCCATTCCCTCATGCCTCATCAAATACCTTTACAATTTTTTTTATTGTGATAAAATATATATAGCAAAAAGTTGCCATTTTTAACATACAATTCAGTGACATTAATCACATTCACAACGTTGTACAACAATCACTACTATATATTTCCCAAATTTTTCATCATGCCAAATAGAAACTCAGTACCCTTGAGCAATAATTCTCCATTCCCTCTTTCCCACAGCCCCTGATAATCCCTTATCTACTTGTGTCTCTATGCATTTACCTCTTTTAGATATTTCGTCTGAGCAGGATCATACAATACTTGTCTTTTTGTGTCTGACTTATTTTACTCAGGATAATGTTTTCAAGATTTGTCCATATCGTAGCTTGTATCAGAACTTCATTTCTCTTTATGGCTGAATAATATTCCATTGTATTTAGGTACCACATTTTGTTTATCCATTCATCTGTTGATGGACATGGGTTGTTTCCACTTTTTGGCTATTGTGCGTAATGCTGCCATGAACATTGGTTTGTCTGTATCTGTTTGGGTCTCTGCTTTCAAGTCTTTTGGGTATAAACCTAGGATGGAATTGCTAGATCATATGACAGTTCTATGTTTAACGTTTTTAGGAACTGCCAAATTGTTTTCCACAGCAGCTGCTCCATTTTACAATCCCACCAGCAATGCAGGAGGGTTTCTGTTTTTCCATATCCTCACCACACTAGCACTGGTTAATTTCCATTTTTCTGATAATACCATCATAGTGAGTGTGAAGTGATATTTCATTGTGGTTTTGATTTGCCTTAGAAACTAATGATATTGATCATCTTTTCATGTGCTTTTGGACATTTGTATATCTTCTTTGGAGAAATGTCTATTCAAGTCCTTTGACCATTTTTTAATTGGGTTGTCTT